TCTACTTAACGTACGGTGAGCTTGGGGCTGCACTTATAATAAACCCAATATTAATTGTAATTTGATCATTATCTAACGAGAGCGGGCGACGACAAGCTTTTAGCGACTAATTTCATCAGTAATGGGAGACGCGTGTTGCATCTCTCTCTTTTGAAGGATGAGCTAGTGAGCACTACGCAGCGAAACGACATACATGGCAATGGCTGAGATACACAGGTGAGCGTGATCTCTAGCTCTAAAGTTAGAAGAACCTATTAACCTTATAATTAAAATACTAGAATATTCTGTTAAAAAGAATACTATAAATCAAACCCTTTTGTATCCAATATTAAATCCTGAAATTAATTCTGATTCTTCTTCGGAGGAGCAGTAGGTATGAATCCTGACTAAACCTTATAATTAAAATACTAGACTATTCTGATAAAAAGAGTGTTATACATCTGGTTCTTCTACATTCAATGTTAAATCCTGGTATTAATTCTGAGTCTCACTCGGAAAAGCCATAGGTAAAGCCCGACTCTGCCGTGTTAAGGCAAAACGCCGTATGAGCATTCGGGTGTTGCCAAATTTTCTCCGATGAAAGTTTTATCTTGGAGGAAAGACAAGAAGATTTTTGTTGGAATTTTTATCTTTCTTGGATGAGATCTGGAGTAAAATTTTCCAAAAAAAAAAAGGGGAGACATTTCCAAGATTCGTAGATTATTCTTATTTTATCAGATAAAATGTGTCACCGTCTAAAGGTTTATACGGCGTTCCGCGTTCTTCCTCAGCATACGACATTTTAAAAAATTGAAAATTAACGAACGTGCGTTGGTAGATAACTAACGGTTCAAGATTAAAATTAAGAACTCTATTGCTCCTTTATTATTGTTCTATTTAATTTTTATTTGTTTATTTTTTTTAATTTATTTTATTTTTTGTTTTCATTGTTTACAATTACTCACCGGTAAGAGCTTGGGATTTTTATTCAACCGAAATATTCATGTAATCATACCATTTTTTTGGGAAGAAGGTTAAGATTTTCGACTATCGATTAACTGACAGTAAGTAGATAATGCTTTACGAAAGATGTCAATCTGCAATATTGATCCGTTGACTTCAGCGCCTGTCTGACTTCTTTGAATGACTTCTTTATTTAGATTGACACTGCTCCCCGGACGCGGATCTTTCCTTGTCATTCGTTCATTCTTGGAACTCAAATCTTGCTCCAAAGTTGAATTCGGAACTTTCCATCGGGTGAATCATTTTATACTCATTAATTCATTTTATGACATTTCGAAGAGCAAGTAATATTTAAAATTAAGCTCTAATTTTCATTGCAAATTTTATGCTGTTTTATTTAACTAGTCTTACCTCCCTGTGTCTTCAAATCGTTGAACGCAGTTGTTATATGAGATAAGATATACTAACATGCTTAAAATAATAATTTAGTGGTTAGATTGTTAGTTTACGACGATCAGTAACCAGGCTGTTTACGTCGTTGAATAACCTTTTTGTAATAAACATATAAATGTAATGATAGTTTTTCTGCCAAGAAATATGCAATGGCGAGCAATTTTTTTTTTTTTTTTTTTTTTTTTTTTTTTTTTTTTTTTTTTTTTTTTTGCAGACTGTACAGCTTTTCAACTTGTATTCACGTGCACTTTTTACTCGTTGCGAAGCAGTGAGTAAACTTGCCATCTCTTAAATGACTCGAATTATCACAATCCGCCAATATCGTTTCAAAGACTTTTCCATCACAAAACACTAAAATTTCTGAAAATTCATTAGTATATACCTACATGGTCTCAACGGCAGCGTGAAAAGTTCATCACTCACCAATGACGAAAAATAGTTTTCTGTTATCATGTCGTCATCTTCCGGTCAAAGTATCACAAGCTGTAAAAATTTCCGGTGCCCTTTTATTTTTTTACTGAGAAACGCTTCAACGGAGCTGTCCAAAAATTTCGCCGAATTTTATTTGTGCTACCGATAAAATTCAGTGAAATTTTCAAACAGATTCAACCAAAAATCTGTCTGTAAAAAAATAAAATGGCGCCGGAAATTTGTCAACGTTTGTGATACTTTGGCCGGAAGGTGACGAAGTGGCGGTGGATAAAATGAGTCTCCTCCAAGAGAAAGAAAAAAAAATCACAGTTGCTCGAAAGAGAAAGAGAAACTAAATAGGCTGTATCAAATATAATAAAAATCTCATCCTTTTCAGTTGGTTTACTGCTCCCCACAAATTCCAGAAATTCAAAAAAATAAACCGAGCCGCGCAGTTAAACAGAAGAACTTACAAATCATGAATTTGTTCGTAGTCTCAGCATCCTCACTATACGACCGTTTGATGAAGTCGTAGGAGAGGAATAATTTATAGAGATGGGGAAGATGGTGGTAGGGGGAGGCGGGAGGGGGGGGGGGGGGGGGGGGGGGGGGGAGTTGTGTGATACGATTTCTTTATCCAGACAGTAGAACAACGCGCGTAACTGTCAATTAAAATAAACACGCATATTGAAAAGATGAAGATAGCACCATCCTCGTCAAGGCGCTCAATTTCGTGAAGTCGAGAGTCAAATGTTATTTCATCCTGGATCATTGTAGATGAGCAGCATCCTATAACACACGCTGAGGCTGTTATTATCTCAGCTGCCGTTCTGGATAGCTCAAGCCATGTTTCCATGGACAGGGTGCGATACGAAGTTGGCCGCGCGGTTGGGTGCAATCATTTTAAACCTATCCGTTTCCATTGATTATTGGGTTTGGGAAACGCTTCATCAAGAGATAAGAGGTCGTAACTTTCCGGCCAAAGTATCACAAGCGCCATGCGACATTTGAACATTTCCGCCGCCATTTTATTTTGTTTACAGAGAAATTGTTGGTTGAATCTGTCCGAAAACTTCACTGAATTTTCTTCGTGCTGCCGATAAAATTCAGTGAAATTTTTAAACAGATTCGACCGACAATTTTTCTGTAAAAAAAATCAAATGGCGGCGGAAATTTTTAAACGTCGCATGGTGCTTGTGATACTTTGGCCGCAATGTGACGAGGTTTAAAAATATATAAAAAGCTAGTTTGACATTAAATTTAAAATCTTTTGACTCCGTCACTTGGGCAACTTAACGTCACATGCTGTTTGTGTGAACGCGGCTTCAAGCTACTGCTCCGCTCTTCCAGATCTGGCGGAATTATGACGCTCACAATTTTCGTTTTACGGAGGCGCAAGGTGAATTATGGTCTCTTAATTTTTATTTAAATGGCGTCTTGCCTTAAGCCTCTAGTCAGTGTATTTGTTTTTCGAAGCAGATTGGTGGCGTCTGTGGTTATTATATCACGGGCTGTCTCGTGTTAGAAAAGGCTCGGTCATCTAAATTGCCTCCTTTTAAACAACCTCTTGCTTGATCAACAAACGGTAGACGTATCAAATTTTACGCACGTCTTGGCCTACTGATTGCAGTTGGGAGAATTAAAGGTTACCTTGCGCGCCCATTATTTCTGGCTTGATGAGGATTGTCAGCTTCTCCCACTGCAAAGAGCTGACGTGCAATTTAATTTGCATGTTCATGTTTTTCAATGACAATTGAACAGATTCAATCATTATCAATTAACTTAACTACGTCAGACCTTGCTTAATTTGTACGCATATGTTCTTGTTTTTCATAGAAAATCACGGAACATTCAGACCTGAAATTCGGTGAGTGTCATCTGAATGATTTTTGAAAATTCGCAGAAAAAGCCAAGGGGTACCTTTAGTTACCTGCTTGAAACATAAAATAAGAGAAAAACTCAGGTAACCTGAAGTACAGTCTGGGCGATGACGTTAAATACGTCTAATTACACTTAAAAAAGAAAGGGGGAATCAAAAGAAAATGATCTGATGAATAAATTCTTGCCGTCTATACTTGTTACAGAGTAGTCTGGAAGTGTTGATTCTCGAAACTTAGAATGCTACATTCGGTTTTGCATGGAAAAACCTAGCAAGGCTTTATTCAGATGAACTTAAAACTTCCGAGCGAATCTATGCTTTAGGACAAGGATTATTTTAATTGGAATGAGGAGGGTGGCATGAAAACTCCTACAAATGCACGTAGAATAAGTAAAACAGATAATTTTTTTTGACTTTGGAATTTAGAATGGAATTTACAAACGCAAATTTTACCGCAGTGCGTTTGATTTTCGATGCTTTATCACTTAATTTTTTTCATTTTCAAACTCTGCAAATTTATTAAGAGTGTCTCTTCTGCTTACAGAAAGTCACGAATAGGATGGTGATGTTTTGTAAAATTGAATTTAATTTTAAATTGGACCGCGTTAAACAGAAAGGAACCAAGCCACATCAGGTATTGCCAGATTTAATTGGGCAATTTAATTTTTTACATGAAAACGGTTGTGCGGATTTTCAAGCAAATTTCAGTATAAATTCTCCATGGTACAAAGCAAATTCCTTAAAATTTTCAAGGAAACCGGAACAAATGTTCTCTCGTAAAAAATTTAATTGCCCAGTTCAACTTGGCAATAGCTGATCCTTGGTTCCTTTCTGTTAAACTCGGTCCAATTAAGGTGCGGTATACAGCTTCAGTAGTAGCTCAGTAAAGTATTTGAAGATCTATGACTCCAGGAATTTGGTATTCTATTAACTAACAGTGATTGAATTGGAGGAAGAATGATACATTTAACCAAGTTCCCAGCTGAGTTCAGTGCCATAACCAAGAAATATGATTGCTGTAACCATTTTCTTGAGAGAAGTTACCCTTCAATTTCCAAACCCAAAATATAGTTGACTCTGACATGTGTTTCAGACGAATAAAAGAGAGTGCTTAATTGTTCTATCTTTCTTGCCGTGTATGCCAAACAAAAAAAATTGGATCGCACCAAGCCTTGAGGATAGAATTGAAAATAACTATACACTATTCTCAATTTTTGAAAAGCTGTGGCTAGACTTGCTGCAATGGAGCTAACTTTTTCCCTTTCTTTAATTATTTCAATTCCAATATTTATCATGTAAGAAAGAACACCAGAAATAAGTTCATATTTACGTTGTTTATTCCAGTCTTGAGCATATTTTTGTACAAATCACACAAATATTTACAATATATGAACTTACATGACAGGTTATGGCTTCTCGATGTTATCAGCAATCAATTCAACTAATTAAATTCCTGTGATTTAATCAATCAATTGATCTGCGCAATCGTCGGTAACTTGAAGATGAGGTATCAGAAGGCGGCATCCTTCCCGCTCAACCGTAGTAAGGGTATCCAGCGTGGCCGTAAGCGGCGCCGTGGTAGGCGGCGTAGGGGTAGGCACCGTATCCGTAACCGGCGTAACTGGCGTATCCGCGGTAGCCACCGTAGTAGGGGCGGGCGGCGTAAGAGGCGACAGGGGCGGCATAAGAGGCGACTGGGGCGGCGTAAGAAGCGACAGGGTGGGCGACGGCGACTGGTGCCCTAACGGCGGCTACGGCAGGTGCGGGTGCTACGGCTACGGGGGCGGGGGCGGGACCGGCGGCGTGCTTGGAGACGACAGCGTTGAAGCCGTTGACGCCGTCGGCGGTGTAGTCGACCTTCCTGATGGAGCCGTCAGCTTCGACGAGGCTGTAGGAGCCCTGGACGACGTCTCCGTCCCTGGTCTCGTGCTGGGATTTGGAGTCGCCGGTGAGAGGGTCGCTGACGGAGTAGCCGAACTGGTAGGCGGGGTGGGCGTCAGGGTAGGCGGGGGCGGCGGCGTAGGCGGCCGGGGCGTAGGCGGCGGGGGCTAATCCGGCGGAGGCGACGGCGACTAAGGCCAAGAGGACGGTGCACTGGAAAAGAATTAGGGGGCGGATTAGTGGGGGATTGAAGCTAACCAAAGATATCCTTAGGTAAATGATAGCACCAATAATCGTAGAGAAAACTTTCCCAATGATATATCTGTTTGTTAGTTTTTACAAACTTTTGAGCATTTTATCAGAATGGTAAAATATACATTGGAACTTTTAAATCATTGGTAAACAAAGGCTAAAATGTCAATCAAAAGAAACACTAAAAAATTATGACGTTTCAAGCCGTCGCGGGCTCGTTTTAGCTCAAAAACCCCCAAAAGGAGGGATCAAGATTGAAAAGCAACGCAATTCAGTTATTATCACGCAACAAGCAGCAAAATTGGATCAGATTGTCTGAATTTTTTTTTTATAATTTTTTTCATTTTTTTCGCTCAAAAGATGGCTCAGAAACGTCGTGAATTGTTTGTGTGGTCTGTCTTAAAAATACCATTGTTTATGCATGTATTTTATTTTTACTGTATCGTGGAAGAAAATATGAACTTTGCTTGGTTACTTTTGCCACAAATCAAATTTCATATTTCTCGCAAAATGTAAATTAACAGGACTACCATCTTGAAAATTTTCAGAAGAAGAGTGTGTGATTCCTATGTATTTATATATGTGCCTTCCCTATTATTCGGGTCAAATTGTTTGGAGCACTGTAGCAATTCAACTTTGTGCACTTACAACAGTCTCTGGGATATCTCTTGTGAGTTATTCAGAAATACTTGCGCCTCAGCAAACTATATATATTCAATACGCATAATACAGCGAGGTGCTACATTTAAGAGAAAATTAGGTTCTCTACATTGAACTGAAAAAGATCCCCCATACATCTCATAAAAATGTTGTAATATTAAAGATGATTATGATGCTTAAAAATGTTAAGAGAATTTTTGACAAATTGTGTGGGGGGGACCTCTTAACAGAGCAACTGACTTTTCGGGATCTATCAAATGCCACTCAATAATTTTGTGTATGGATTAATATAATCAAGCTCCGATAGAAAAAAAATTGCTGTTTCATAAATCTCAGTATATATAATTCTTTATCAACGAAAATTTTCGATATAGGGTACTCTCGATTATAATTTGTGCTAAATTTCTACAAAGGAGGCTTCAATTGGAAAAAGCCGTGATGTAAAAAGAGATCAGACTTTGAGGTTAGGAAACTGGCAGGTCTTACCTTGATGAAAGCCATGTCTGTGTGCTGTGAGTAGCTGCTGGATGTATCCTTACTGAAACAAGTCACAGAAAACGATTGTGATTTTTCACCGAAACTTCAGCGCTTATATAGTGGATGGATGAGCAATTTTTTTTTCTCTCTCTAAAGTAATGACGAAGAGCTGCTGGTATTTCGTGGAAACAATTTGAACTACATAAAGTGGCCGTGAATGATTAAATGAATAATCAATGGTAGACCGGAATAGAGAGAGAAAAAAAGGGAAAAGGCTTCATCTTTCCTCTTTTTCTCAAATTTTTAAATCAAGGCTACCCGGGGAGTAGGACGACTTGAACTTAGGAATTCAATGCATCTCATAATCGCGCATCAAGTTGCGGTATGAATCTTAGATAATCATCCTCGTTGACAGATTAGGTGACAGTGGAATAAGGAAAAGTTATGCTATGCGCGGGTGCAAAAAATAAGAAAAAAACCGATTTAAACGCTGGAAGATACATCTAAAGGCAATTAAAATATTAACCTCTCGTAAAAACAAGTTCAAACACACTTCCAGTATTAGATCATGAGCAATATCTGGTATCTCAGAAAATTGTGACCAATAATTGTTTGATAATCTGCAGGATTTTTGAGGGTGTGTAATTGGTTTAATTGCTTGCGTGCGTCGATTACGGAGAGGGCATTTAATCATTTTTCAAAGAGCAACACTGAAGTTGATCCACAATTTCCCTTGCAAAAAACATGAACAGAAGTAGTTGCTTTTCTATTCGATTCGTTACTGTCATTCAGACGTGCACTTTTAAAATCTTATTTTTATACATAATATGATATAGAAATAATAAATTTTAATATTTAAATGAAGTAGTAAAAAGCGAACCTGCAGTACTTGCATTGTTAGTAGGAGTTTATTTTCTCGTGTGCATTTCGGGGAATCCCACAATCCGTAAGATTTTTTTTTTTTTTTTTTTTTTTTTTTTTTTTTTTTTTTTATAAAAACACAATAACAATTACACTAAAAACGTACCACAATGGATTATACGTGGGAACAATAACTATTAGTGAAAAATATAATAAGCATAAGTCAAGAATATGAATACTTGATGCGTCAATATTTCTCTAGTTTATCTTCTCCATTTGGTAAAATGCAAAATATCTTGAGTAATATTAACACAAAAACTTCTGTTAATTCCATACAAAAAATTCAGCGATCAAAATTTCCTCTGAAAATTTAAGAAATAAGATATACTTTAAAATTTATATTGGAGGTATTCACGCACTCCTAAATCTGAAACTTGTGAAATTTTTTATAAATTCAAATTTTACTTACCGAAATGCAATTGTCAGCTCTTCGTCGGGATTGAGGATAGACGCAACCTCACTACTTCAGCTCCGCCTTGGACTGATATCAAATAGTAAAATTTATATAATCAGAAGTCGTTTAGTTCCCATTAATTAAAAACATAGATTCGTGTCAGAAAAATTCGGCTCCCCTCTCCAGCTTCTTTTCTAGCTTTTAAAAATCTAATATACAAACCGGTACTACTCACTACCTGTTTCTTTCGAGGAAAACTAGTGAGCAATGAGTAAAGGAAGAAATTTAACAGTCATTTCTGAGTTTTACGGACAGCCCAAATTTATCGTTAATAGCACATTTGGACTACATTTTGCAATTAAGAACATTAAATTTCGGCCCGGTTTAAAAACAACGTATGTGCCATTAGCTTCCCTATGCACATAAGTGTTTTTTCAGATGAGTTAGAATTTATAGCTCCAAATTGCAAAATACAGTCCATTTGTACAATATGTTATTCCCTTAAGAAGCAGGATATATTAATAGTAGTATACATATAGTATAGGATAAAGTGTTGATATAAATTTTCAAAGGTAGTTTCAAAGTAGTATACAACGGATTTTAACCTGAGTATACTCAAAAGGGTCAACAGCATTGTAGTTCCAATGAATGGAGCAATGTGTGGAGCACATAGCAATGTGTTGGAAACATTTTTTTGGGAAAGCCCTGTCAACACTACTAGCAAAAATTCACGGAACTTAGCGCGAAAGTTAAGTTTCGTAAACCTATCTCTGTGTGGACAAGGCCTTCCATGTTTGGCACAAATCGTGAAGTATTCAGACAGTCTTGTAGGCGCTATGCGTTTAACGCCGACCGTTGCTGAACGCACTGTTTTGGACGCAATGCGTGAAGTATTCACGCAGCCTTGTAGGCGCTATGCGTTTTCGATGCGATTGTTTTCTCTTCATTGAGAAAAAAAAATTAAACAAACGATACACAAACAAATGCTTTTAAACGATTAAAATCAATCGTAAAAGGGGGATGTTTCATTCGTTTGCAAGATTTTTTGTCAGTACCGGGGCCGGATTTACCTATTTGCTGCCCGTGGGCCGCCTGTATTTTTCCGCCCCCTTTTCATTCGTTTTGAAACATCAATAAAAAACATCAAGTGAACGTGCCAGCGGGCCGATTATTGAAATTTAAACCAGCCCGATAAGACATCGAATTGCGATATATTGCATGGTTAAGATGCGGCTATGTCTTGTCGTGTCGGGCTGACATAGTTTCAATAATCGCCTCGCAGCGGGGGTGTGGTGCATAAGACGCGTTTACTCGTGTTGGAAACATTTTTTGGGAAAGCCCTGTCAACACTACTAGCAAAAATTCACTGAACTTTGCGCGAACGTTAAGTTTCGTAAACCTATCTCAACGTGGACAAGGCCTTCCATTCATAAAAAATTAACGAAAAAATGATGAAAGAACAAACAAAAATGTGGTTTAATGATTTTAACTTCCACCGCCGCGCCGCGCAGACCGCACCGTGTTTGGAGAAATGCGTGAAGTATTCCGACAGTTTTGTAGACGCTATGAGTTCCACGCCGACGACCGCTGCTAAACGCACTGTGTTTGACGGAATGCGTGAAGTATTCACGCAGTCTTGTAGGCGCTATGCGTTTCACGCTGACCGCAATGACCGCACTGTGTTTGATGCAATGCGAGAATTATTCGTGCAGTCTTGTAGGCGCTAATATGTGTTACATGCCGACCGCCGCGCCGAGGGCTTCTCCTTTTCATCTCAAGTCCTCGTCATCATTTCTCTCTTAGTCGCGCCGTTCTTGGCCAAATTGCGTATTTGGTCTCCCTCTTAACTCGATTAATTAAAGGTGCTGTTTCTTGTATCGCCGAAAGTCGGCAAAATTAGAAATTACTATAGTCTCAGGATATGACAGATTTTGTTTGTAATTTTTTTTTCAAAATCCGATTTTTTTTTGTACCTACATTTAAAAAAAATTGCAAAATTTGCCGCCTCCTAGATTTTCCGCCATGGGCCGCGGCCCATGTGGCCACCCTCTTAATCCGGCTCTGGTCTTTACATATAGCAATGTGCCAATCCTCTTTCGCTTCTCTTTCGTATGCGTTGCAAGCTTCCATAGTACAAGGTGACGGAACATTTTAACTACACTGAAAAAAGAACTCCGGGCGTGGATGCCGTACTTACGGGCTATATAGACATACCGTCCGTGTTCCGGGCTCGGAGGCCGAAACTTCCGGGCGAAGCACCCGGAGCAAATCGAAGCTACGGCTCCATGCAGTACCCGGCACTTTGGACCTTTGAGCCCGGAACGGACGGTATGTCTATATAGCACGTAACTTTTTTTTTTCAGTGGATAGGCTTTTCCTCTTATTTTCTCTTTCTGTGCCTAATTTATGATTAAATTAGGCACCTCCTGAACAATTTTGCCAACAGTCCACTTTTCCGGCAGGCACTTTCTGCTACACCTATTGTAGGCGTGTATAAGGTCCCAATCTAGAACCCGATCAAAGTGTAATAGGTATAGTAATGAAAATGAAGGGGAAACCCTAAAATCCGGTAAAAGAAAAAATGTTCTGAATAATCGTTTGATTTACGGATCCGTGTGTCTGGTCGGAGAATAAGACAAACTGGTTGAAAATATAAGTGATTATAATGTGTAATTAAAATATTTGAATCATCGTTAAGTATCCATAAAGCGTTTCATTCGTTTTTCGCATTCTACTCAAGTCTGTTAAACCATGTAGGTATGATAATCCTCTGTCCTCCTCCCCTCTTCCACTATGTTATATATCTTTACTTGTTTCGAAAAACGGTTAAAAGTTTGCACTTATGCTCGTCATTCATCAATCATTCATGTTTCCTGCTACAATGTGATATTCGTAGCTTTGCAAGGGTTTTTCCAGTTAGTAATCCAAAATCAGTGACAAAATATTAGAAGAGTATTATTTTGTGTTGAAAGAATGAATACATTAATTATGATGCATCCACAGTTTATTTTATAAAATCTACTTGAGTGGGAGGATTGTCCTTCCAACAGATGTCCCGCATGAGCACTTGCAAAAATTATGGTTAATTTAATCATACTATGATTCCCTCCTGCTTCCTTTTTTTTTTTTTAAGAGCAACACGGCAGCACTGATGAAACGAGTAATTAGTACCATTCAAAAGTAATTTCGATGAGGAAAGTTTGGAATATTGTACATTGAAGTGATTGAGACATTTTTTTTTTAACTTTTGTCATCACAAGAGAATGTGACCGGAAAAAATTGTTTCAGTCAAGGGATTTTTTTTGTTTTAGTTCTTTGGTATTTGGTGTTGATTATTTGTGCGGAGAATACATCGAATCACCTTGAAATAAATTCAGGTAAAAGATGATTTATATTGAAAAGTGATGACTAAGTGAATTTCTTTTTTTCTTTTTGTATTCTGATCAAAGATGATATTAAGTCGGAAAAACATGAAAAATTCGACTTTTCGGGTACAAACAATAAATGTTACGTTAAATTTATGCACTACTACACTTAGTCTTGTCTGGAAAACTAGAATGCTTGTTTCTCAGGCAAGACACTTTTTCAGTGCAGTACGAACGATCGAGTTTAATACTCGTCAGTACCTTGCAGTTCATTATGTCAATGAACTCTTTGAACACTAAAAGATCATTTAAAGGGTATGTTAACCCGTAAGGAGGAAACAGATATGTATTTGTTGAGGAATTAAACAAGTATTTATTTTTAAAAAAAGAGGATCACCACAAAAATTAATAGCATGGCAGTGATTTCATGATTTTGCTGACAACAAGCGCCGCGCCGCTTTCGTTTCTTATTCTGATTCAATTCTGGATTAGAAAATAGTAGCCTTGCAACGAAATTAAAGGTCCAGTTACACGATCAAATTGAGCCATCAAATTGGGCCTCTCATTGGCCGCATCCTCACCTCAGGTCTTCTTCCACCAATCAGAGCTTCAATTTGATGGCTTAATTTGATCGTGTGACTGGACCATTAGAAATCAATAATTGATCTATTGTATCGAATCGGACATTTTGCAATAGGGAACCACTATCCGTCTCATCTCCGAAAAAACGTATCTGTAATTAGTGTCCCTATGCAGATAAATGCTTTTGTGGGTGAACCAGAAATGACAGTACCTCATTACAAAATGGTCCAATGGGCCACTAGACACGGCGTGAGTCAAAACACTGCGGAACATGTTTTCTCTTCAAGATTTTACGAGGGCAACGAATTACACTAAGAGCAGTCTTGGAATAAGCTCCTTAGTAAAATCTGTAGGTGTTTAAATTAACATGGGTTAAATGGCAAAAATGCGAAAAACGTCATTATTGTGATGCGTTACAACTACTTGCTAATATCTCGTTGAGGAGTTGGCTTCCGAACTCTCGGTTGCGTGAATCGTTTCCTGCCTAAGATTCTGGAGAAGAAAATTATGTTTTCTTCTAGGCCAGACCTTAGTCGTAAATCAGTTTTCACTCATTCATCTTAACGAAAGTTGACGGAAAACGCTTTGGTAAGCGGGATCACCAACGCCATATTTTCAACAAAAAATTATTTGAAAATTCATATCAATTATAACCTCCCCCCCCCCG